TAGGACTCTCCGGTTAGTGCGCCAGCCGCTTATTAAGCCCAATTTGGTCTGGCCCCAGGTGGGCTTAATAACCGGCGACTACTGTAACGTGAATATCATCACCATTTCTTCATTTAGAAGTCTGAAGATTTTCCTATTCTCTATGAACTGCATTGAGCCTTGAGGGAGGTTTCGAAGTCCTGCGTGCGTAAATTGATGAAATAGCCACTTATAAAGCTTGTAGATGGGTGCACTAGTTAAGGAGACTATCGGTCGTAGCAGAATTCAAATCTGCAATACCTCTCATAGGAGGAAACACCATTGCTGGAGGGTAATGATGGGTCTTATGACCCCCACCGGATTAATATACATGTTCACCTAGTATAACTAAGGAGAACTGGAATTTATGAAGAATCCAAAACATAATTTACGTTCAACGTTGGCGGATACCCTAAACCGATAAGACAGAATTCATCAAACGCCAATAATTGCAACTGTACAAACAAACGACAGCGTCTATCCGGCCTCGTACAACGGCCTATGCAATTGCATGGAACCTAAAGAGACTAGATGAAGAGATTGGCGGATCCCTCATTAACCCTCGATTAGGACCCAGAATAATTTAATTGTTGACAGCAACCCCGGATTCGAGACAATATCCATAATTAGAAAAAATATGCGCCGGTTTAGGAGCACCATATCAGATCATGTTTCGCTAACCTCAGTAGACATTACAGTCCAATTTTGACTCCGGTTACGGAAACGTGTACATCTGGCTAGGTCAGTCATGATCGTAGTCGTGACAAGTACAAATGCAAACGTACACCTCATCAATTAGTTATTAGGTAGACAGAGCGAAATATTAGCACGAAGTCCCAGATCACGGCATAAGTCAAAAATCAGAACAAATAAATAAACGGATTATAATAGAGTCTGAACTGAATGCAGATCACTTCACCCTATAGATACAAACGATGAGACCAAAATGAACTGTCGAATTTTATCACATTGGATGATATCTTCCTCGTTAGCCAAAACAGTATCAGTGGCAATGTTTTCCCGCCTTCGTCTCCCCTAGTGTATTTGCGCGCCCAGGCAAATGTTCATGAGAGCACAGTGAAGACTTTAAGTAAGCGGGGAATTGCAGAGGTATAGTCATGAAGAGATACGCAGAGAACAAAAAAAATTAACTAAGCCTTCAATACAGCGTAAATGGATCAATACAAAAGTATTTGCGGTGGTAGTACTAGAGAAACGTAAGCATACGAATGGCGATATTTAACGAAGGAAATAGACGCATTCCAACATACGCTCTCCTCTAAATGCTGGTCTTCTTAAGATATGCAGGTAAGTAGGCAGACAAACCTTATCTGTCTCCGCCGTCCGTCGGTATTTTTTAATACAATGCAGGAGCTCGTCGTTCACGGTCATCAAATCCGCCAGAGCCGTTTCAGCCCCGTCAGCGACGTCCGTAGAAGTTTCA